GCTTCTTCCGGCGATGTCCTTATCCGAACAGATTCCCGGACCGTCCCACATATTCTATTCACCAACCCTCTTCATCCCCTCCCATCATGATTTTCACATCCCAGCCATAAAATAAAAGCAAAAAGCATAAACTACATTTCAGTGACGGCTGTCTCGAGCCTCTCTCGCACATCTCTGACTCTATCTGTTCGAGGACTTTTCGGTCAGTTATCTCCAACACCAGCGAGTCCAGGAAGCCCTCCACCTGTCGCAGCAACTGCTTGCGGGTCATCTCGTTCGTCACTCCATCATTCACCGTCACCGTCATCTTCATATACTTCATCTGAGCGCCCGTCAGGTATGCGGGCAAGGTGTGCCCAGCAAACCTCCCGTCACTCGCCCGTGAGCGGAAGGCCACAGTGCAGTTGTACTCCCGCGCCACGCGGTGCTTCAATGTCAAGCCATGAAAACGCATCTCCATGTGTAACGGAAAGCCCCACTGAAGCATGTCCGGGACTCCACCACGAGACACACGCCTACCTTTCAGAATAGGCTCTTGCCAAGGCTCCAAAAAAAATTCTCTCTTCTGTACATTCTCTCGCTTTCCCGCCATGAGTCCGCGCCAAGACTGCAGAGTTAAGTCGTCCTCTTGGCCCGTTGGTTTCCTTTCCTGTGTACATCTGTCAGGTAAGTTTGCTCTACATCTTTAGACTCTCTCTGTTTTTCCTAGCACGGCTCGTATGCTCTCTGGATGTACCGCTTGCCACGCTTGTGTATGCATGAACACATGTATTGCATCAAGTCCAACCGCTGGAGCCGCCATGATTCCACGCGTGCTGCTGTTTCCTCTGTGCATCTATCAAATCCAAACTTCATATCTTAATTTACTTCACGCCTTTCTATACTGTGCCGCACGCGACTCCCCCGGTCCAACACCCCGCAGCCACCTCTTCTCCTCGGAGTATATCTTCTCGCCTCAAGACGCATGCAAGGCGCTGTCTTCTAATTCAAACACAACTTTCAGAAGCTCTTTGATATGCATCAACACAACAGTCCCGAGAGTACTCTCAGATAGCTCAGCCCCATTATGTTAACATTCACCAGGTGTATATGTGTGTGGTTTATAAAGACGTTGCTGAGCTACATTACGTTCAGCTGAACCAGATGTCTCTCATGTATATACACACGTAAAAGCAAGCCTCTATCAATCCATTCAACACTTCCTGTTCCAGCCGTCCCCGCGTCCCCTGCGGTGCGTGCGCGGTGTGCTCCGTTGCGTGTGGTCACTTCCTACACTACTCTTCTTCAATGGTGAGGCAATCCTAAACCACAAATACACACATGATATTTTCATTCCCGCAATCGATACATTGTATAAATCTATGTCTGATCGATTCTTTCACAATATCGAGGACTTCAACTATTCTGCATTGGACGCATTCATTCAGACAGCTGTGTATACTGTCTCACTCTCCAACACACGCCTCGTCCCAATCCTCATCCTGCGGGTGTCCTGCATCCAGTTCGTGTGCGCCTGAGCGCGAGACGCGAGCTGCGCGCTGACTGATCCGAGCAACAATAACTTCAGGTGATGTCTGCGCGTGCCCTACATGAGCGCCTACGTCTTGGCACTGCTGGTCCTACACCCATTTCCAAGTAACAGTATCGATCAGCCTTTTGTCGCCATCGCTTCCACCGCGTCGCTCACAGTGATCTTGGGACTCCACCACACAGATCACCGCATCCGCCGCGTCGCTCACAGGGATCTTGGGACTCCACCACACAGATCACGGTTGTTCAAAATTTGACAGATGAGCCTACGCCGCGGATGGCTGCCCAATATTCACGCTAAGGTGAAAGCTGGATGTATCTCGTAGCACACGTGCCCCGCCCTGTCTAGCGGCGCAGTCGCCCGCAGAGTGTCGTACAGCCTCCACTGTTCTCTGTCTACGCAATACAGCTTTCCACTCTCCAGCAGTTCCACTACGCCCGCATAGGTGAGACTCACAGGTCGCAGCACCACCGTGCCCATTTCTATTCCCCAAGCTTCCGCTGCCGAGAGTGCTGCGTGGTCGGCTCGCTTCTTCAGGGCCCAGTAGCGACATCGCTGTCTCCCCACCGGTGGTCGAACTTGTCCCGTCTGCTCAAATTCCACGGCTTGACTCTCACTCAAACCCACGAACAGGCGCAGTGCGGTCCCTCCATGTCCTTGCAGAGATCCACCCTCCACAGGCGGGTGCGCTGCGCCGACGGCGATGAGGGTGTCACCAGAACGCTCATGGCCACCCGTGGCGGGGACTCCACCACCTGCCACCTCCCCGTGCGTGGACGTCACCATGTCGGAGACCAAGCGTGCTATCGGGTGCTATCCTGTCTCCTGTAAACAGCTCTGCCAGCACAAAAACACTTCGGATGCTGTTCTCTTGCTCAAACTCGAACAAACATACTCAAACTCCATTCTTTGTCGTCTTCAACCCGTCTCACATGTGTCTAAATTTGACACACCCTCTGAGTATTGCAATCTAACTGACACTTGTCTAGAGATATCTATGCAAAAAAAATCTCTACAATAATCTCTACATATAACTTTAGATGTAAGTCAAAGCCACTGCATGGCAAAACCTCTATCCTACCGCTGACAACGCGCGGAAGCTCAAACGTATTCTCCAAATTGTTTCAATTCAAACAAAGTACATCAACGCGTTCTCGCGCTCTTTTTCGATGCGCAGTCGTGCGCGACGTCGGCTGCGCGGCACTGTGCCACAGACGGTTGTACGGGGGACATCACCACCACATACCCTGCACATGCCTCTCCTGCTCATGCCGGGGACTCCACCACCTGGCACAAACGCTCAAAAACCTTCTCACGCCACCGTGGTCGGGCCGTGCACCGCGTAGTACGGATGCCCCTGATCATCTCGTGGAGCCGGCACTCGTAGCGGTGCGTAGAGTCGCCACTGGTCTGCGTCCACGGGATACAAGTGTCCCGACTGCAGCATCCGCAGCAGTCCCACGTGCGTCACGGAAATCGGGTGCAAAATGACATCCCGGCCAGCCATCCCATCATGCCCATCCAGCGCGCTCTGCGCCGCGGCCTCCGCGCGGGTCTTCAGTGGAAAATACCACTGTCCCTGCCGTCCTTGCGGACACTCCACCTGACCCATCCGCTCCAGGTGCAAGTCTTGGTCTCTGTTCAGACCCACCCACAACTTCAAGGCAACACCTCCGTGCCCCACGCATTCGCCTCCTGGCACCTCCGGGTGCACCTGCCCGGCGGGGACTACACCACCTGCCGCCGCATATCCAGCGGACATGGCCCGGTCTGTCGCTCGCTCGCGCTCTCGGCACAGACTTTCTCACAAGCCAAAATGCTCTGCGGTATTCGGTTTGCTGGCACACTTTCTCACAACCCACAATGCTCTGTGGTCTTCCAAGTGCTTGCACACACCATAATACCGTCTTTTGCTCTCTTTTGACTTCAACGACACTGAGGTCCCCGCCACAGCAGGGATGCGGGCACCGTCTCTCCCAAAATGGCTGCAGTCGAACGTGTGAGAAACTATGTGGGTTTCCCGAACACACACAAGCATTTCATACAAGACTTCTCGTCCAAAGGTCGCGCCGATCTGGGACACTCTTGTAGGACACTCTTGCGGGACACTCCTCCTCCTTCGTACGAAACGCTGCGAGGCTGCAAGACGAGCGTTTCGTACGAGACTTCCTCCAAAAGTCACGCGTCAAGTCTCAAAAACGAGCGTTTCGTACGAGACTTCCTCCAAAAGTCACACGTCAAGTCTC